CAGCTTTCCACAAACTTGTTTTGACTTTTCCAGCTTATTTATGTCCATTTGCAACCTATTCTCAGCTTTCCACAATCTTGTTTTGACTTTTCCAGCTTATTTCTGTCCATTTGCAACCTATGCTCAGCTTTCCACAAACTTGTTTTGACTTTTCCAGCTCATTTCTGTCCATTTGCAACCTATGCTCAGCTTTTCACAAACTTGTTTTGACTTTTCCAGCTCATTTCTGTCCATTTGCAACCTATGCTCAACTTTCCACACATTTTTTTTGATTTCCAGCTTACCTTTGTCCATTCTGAAACCTATGCTCAACTTTTCACAAACATTTTTCACTTTCAAGCTTACCTCTCTGTTACAGGGTTGGCTAGCATCCGACCACAGATGTGATACTAGAGGCACGCCTTCACCTCATGTTGTGAGTTCTTTAACACCCTACTGATTAAAATATCAAAACAAGCCAGCTGATTAGTTGTTGTCTCCTGTATATATATTATTATCGTACCAGACCCACTCGCACACAATGAAATGCACAATAATATCGTAAAGGATTGTTTAATTGTACAACCGTTTTATGATATCATTAGTACACAGATATGAATTCACTGTACAATAGGAACAATTAACACACTTGTCAGGGCAGCATAAAGCAGTGGCGCCTCGTAGGTAACCCATATACTCAACCTCAAACAGGGATGATTCACAATGAGCAATGCCTTCTTTACGTATCGAATGACGCCGCTACTTACCTGCGCCGACATGCACACGAAACTTTGAAGCAGGAAACGGGCTGTTATAAAATATAATAAAACTAGCACTATTACAATTTCAGAGCACCTGCAAATAAGAATACAATAATTCCGCCAATAAATTACACAAATAATTACCAAGATAACATTCGAAACACCTAGTCTGGACCCTAGTCTAATGTGTGTGTATTGTTGCTACATGTAGATTCAGTTTTGTACTCTGTAGAACCATGGAGGTAATAAGAACTTTGTAGAACTCGTTTCGAACACAGAAGGTCTGAAGCAATGTATGCTCAACTTTCCACAAACTTTCTTGTCTTTCCTGTTTACCTCTATCCATTCTGCAACCTATGCTCAGCTTTCCACAAACTTTCTTGTCTTTCCAGCTTACCTCTATCCATTCTGCAACCTATGCTCAGCTTTTCACAAACTTTCTTGTCTTTCCAGCTTACCTCTATCCATTCTGCAACCTATGCTCAGCTTTCCACAAACTTTCTTGACTTTCCTGCTTACCTCTATACATTCTGCAACCTATGCTCAGCTTTCCACAAACTTTCTTGACTTTCCTGCTTACCTCTGTCCATTCTGCAACCTATGCTCAGCTTTCTACAAACTTTCTTGACTTTCTAGCTTACCTCTATCCATTCTGCAACCTATACTCAGCTTTCCACAAAATTTCTTGACTTTCTTGCTTACCTTTGTCCATTCTGCAACCTATGCTCAACTTTCCACAAACTTTTCTTTGACTTTCTAGCTTACCTTTGTCAATTCTGCAACCCATGCTCAACTTTCCACAAACTTTTTTACTTTCTAGCTTACCTCTGTCCAGTCTACAAACTATGCTCAGCTTTCCACAAACTGCCTTGTCTTTCCAGCTTACCTCTGTTCATTCTGCAACTGTGTTCAGCTTTCCACAAACTTTTCTTTGACTTTCCAGCCTACCTTTGTCAATTCTGCAACCTATGCTCAACTTTTCACATTTGTTTTTACTTTCAAACTTACTACTTTGCACTTTAGTTTCGCACTTTGCATCACTTTTTCAATACTTTGCACTCAAGTTTCACACCTTGCACCACTTTTCCTCTACTCAACACTATAGTTTTAGACTTTGCACCACTGTTCCACTACTTCGCAATCTAGTTTAACACTTTACACAACGTTTCCACTACTTTACACTCCAGTTTCGCAT